GCATAAATTGGGGATATTCTATGATTCGGGGAACAGCGCTCATGACAGGAGGTCTGTAGTCCTGGCTGGCTCTTCCACACATTACCCAAGTAACCGTGAGCAAGGCACTTATCCACTGTACAAGAGTTGCTCCGTCTCTACAATGGGATAATGATTCTTTATTCCCTGGCTCATGGGGCTGTTGTAAGGATTAATTCATTAATATTTGTAAACCATTTGCAGATCTTTAGGTGAAAGATGCTGTAGTGCAGGGGTCTGAAACTGGAATCGCCAGGAGGGCCACATGAGGACTTGTTCGTTGGCCCGAGGGCCCCATCCCCCACTCCACCCCCACCCCTGCCTGCGGGTGCAGCAGGGGGCTCAGGGCAGGGGGTTGGGGTGCAGGATGGGAGTGGGGTGTGGCAGGGGGCTCAGGACAGGGGTTTGGGGTGCAGGAGGGAGTGCAGGGTGCAGCAGGGGGTTGGGGTGCAACAGGGGGCTCAGAGCAGGTAGTTGGGGTGCAGGATGGGTGTGGGGTGTGGCAGGAGGCTCAGGACAGGGGTTTGGGGTGTGGAAGGGAGTGCAGGGTGCATCAGGGGGCTCAGGACATGGGTTGGGGTGCAGGAGGGAGTGCAGGGTGTGGCAAGGTGTTGGGGTGCAGGGTGCAGCAGGGGGCTCAGGGCAGGGAGTTGGGGTGCAGGAGCGGTTGGGTTCCAGCCCGGCGCTGTTTACCTAGAGCGGCTCCAGGGTGGCAGGGGCATGCACCGGGGCCAGGGTAGGCTCCCTGCCTGCCCTGGCCCTGGCCCCGGCCCTGGCCCCGGCCCCGGCCCCAGCCCCGTGCCGCTCCACTCCGCTCCAGGAAGCGGTGGGCACCCTGTCCCTGCAGCCCCAGAGGGAGGGGCAGCAGAGAACTCCTGTGAGCAGTTCTTGCCTGTGGGTATCTCCCCTGAAGCTCCCATTGGACGCGCTTCTCCTTTCCCAGCCAATGGGAGCTTTGGAGGAGGTAATCACAGGCAAGAACAGCTCACAGGAGTTCTCTGCTCCCCCTCCGCCCGGGGCCGCAGGGAAGCAGTGCGGTGTCCTCAGCACCACGGGGTTGGCAAATCTGCAAACCGGCTCCAAAGCCCTGAGGGGCTGGATCCAGCTCTGGGCGGTAGATTGCCTACCCCTGTCCTGGATGTAGGCTGGGGACATGGCACGCTGTGGAGGGGACGGGGGGCCGCGGGGAGCTTGTCAGGTCCCAGGGAAGAACCCTGCGGCCCCATGTTTGAGACCCCTGCTGTAGTGCAGATATGGGACAAAATGTGCCAGCGATGCCCCTCTGCCATGTACATTGGTCAGACTGGACAGTCTCTACATAAAAGAATAAATGGACACAAATCAGATGTCAAGAATTATAACATTCATAAACCAGTTGGAGAACACTTCAGTCTCTCTGGTCACTCGAGCTCTGACCTAAAAGTCACAATATTACAACAAAAAGACTTCAAAAACAGACTCCAACGAGAGACTGCTGAATTGGAATTAATTTGCAAACTGGATACAATTAACTTAGGCTTGAATAGAGACTGGGAGTGGCTGTGTCATTACACAAAGTAAAACTATTTCCCCATGTTTATTTCCCCCCACCCCTACCTCCCACTGCTCCTCAGACGTTTCTTTTAACTGCTGGCAATGGCCCACCTTGATTATCACTACAAAAGGTTTTCTTCCCCCCACCCCCCGCTCTCCTGCTGGTAATAGCTCATCTTAAGTGATCACTCTCCTTACAATGTGTATGATAACACCCATTTTTCATGTTCTGTGTGTATATAAATCTCACTGTATTTTCCGCTGAATGCATCCGATGAAGTGAGCTGTAGCTCACGAAAGCTTATGCTCAAATAAATTGGTTAGTCTCTAAGATGCCACTAGTACTCCTTTTCTTTTTGAGAAGGATGGGTGGTTGCTCTTTGATATGCTCCCAAACCTAAAATACCTTTGTAAATCTGGTACTAATCTACCAGTGCTTGTCCTAGTAGTATCTGATTGTCCAATCCTCAGATAAAGACTACAAGGGATGGTAAGCTTATGAAGGCAGAGAAACTTGGAAGGAGCCATGATTTTATCAATTAGAACATGATGTTAGTTGTTCACTTTAAATGATCAATTCATGAGACATCAGATAACTTGGCTCAATCAGTTTAATAAACATCGATAAATCAGTGCAAACAGAGAGGTTCATACATTACCAATTTGGAGAACAGTCCTGCAGCAGTTTCAATCTGTTCTAAAGTGTGGGTTCAATTCTGCTCATATTTATATTCCCCTTGTTTAAAACAGATAGAAAATTCCACTGTATTATTACAGACCTTACTCACCTTTACTTATCTAGTTTCATACCTATTTTTCTGAGTACAAAGACATCTGTGCCAACTGTCCGTAGCACTCTGTACCAGCTGTAGCTAGCCCACTATTCATATTTGGGAAGCCTCAACTGAACATACATCTTGTTTCTGACAGATTCTACATATACAAAGAACAGAGGCTGTATACAAAGTTTACCCACTAGTAAATTCCACTATAAAGTGCAGCACGAGTACAAGGCATTCTGGATGTAGAGTTCATAGTTATACAATTTAGCATAAGTACAGAACCTTCTAGAAATATATGTTGGTTAACAAGGACATCAACCAAGGCTGTGTTTATCAAATACTTGACATGTAGGAGCTGTTGTAAGAGGACATGTGATTTGGGTTCGTCACGCACCTTAGTACAGAAAAAAAAAAAAAATCAACCAGGAGTATGAAGCTGCAGCAGCTATGCAAAGATGGAGGAGCCTGTTACAAAATCTCTGCAAATCTAGATGACTTTTGATTCATACCACTTTCAGAACTGTTTGAATCTGAGCCCTCTAGTCACTTACACATGCTCCCCCAGAACTCCACCTGGGCTGTGGTCGCACTGAGATTCTAGTTTCACTCTTTGGGGACAACATGGTAGGAAAGTAAGGCACATAGCCTTAGCCAAGGAGTTTCTTAGCCACAGGCAGTTTATTCTTAAAGCCCTCAAGAACTATTAATTTTTGAAAATGACAGAACAAGTCATGAAACACACCTTCCCCAAGTCTGAGCTCAACACTTCTGTAGTTTCTGTGGTTTGTCAGAGTTACAGGCTGGGCAGAGTTCGTCCTGCCCTCTCTCTCCTGCAAATCCTCCTTACATGTGGTGATGGTTGGCTCCCTGCACAGAGCGGAACCGTGCTCTAAAATAGGGCATCCATTTCTGTGCCATGTGCCAGTAAGTGTAACTGAGGGTAAACACAGATAACTGGAGTTTACCCACTTCTCATTTGGGGAATAAGGCATTTACCCAATTCTTATGTAAGAAATAAAGCTTTACCTCATCCTACTCTCCTATGATAAACAAATCCTGGCTGCACAACCAACACAACTGATGTGCAAGTTATCTACCGCTGGTTATGCTCAGCAACTGATCAGTCACAGAAATGCTGGCCTGTAAAAATCTGCAACAAGCCAGTTCTACTGCATGTGTGAATTGACAGAATACATCTGCCAACCATTAAAAAGTATGACATTTATTTTTTACAACTTTACAGAATTTACTTTTAATTTGTAGAAAAGGAAGCATCAGCAATCAAACCCTCTTTTATTTTTGGGGAAGAAACAAAATGTTTCCTCAACAAATTTGAGTTTGGTTTCTGAAATCGAACTGTTCCTATACACATTGTAGCTTGCCTTCATTTATTAATTATTATTAATTTGTAAGTATAACTGTTATTTTACTGATACTGCACACCTTTAGTGCCTACCATGCCACTGCCCAACCTGGAATACAAAAAAGGTTAGTTTACCCACTTCTTCTTTTTTTTACCACTACACCACTGCCATGCGCTCCCACTGGGACGCTCCAGATCAACCAGTCGTGCCTGCCCCCTTCTTGTGGGCCTGTCAAAGAGTAGAGTCAGTGGTGGCACACCCCCTCATGCCTGGGTGCACTGTAGCAGGCTCTCTTCCTTTGGTTCCCTCTGATGACAGCTGCTCCAGGTCTGCAGTGCTCTGCTTCTTCTCATGACTCTGCCCACCGGCTGGGTCACATGTGGTCCCACCACTTTCAGAGTAAACCAAGTCCTATCTGCCTGTCACCCAGAGGCTTCAGACCAGGTCTTCAGCTCAACTATAGACTTAAATCCTTTCCAGCCTTTATCTCTAGTGTCTCCATGCCGCCTTTGTCCCTGGGTCAGTAGGGGAACCCAGACACCCCTTCTGCTCTGGGTTCTGGCCCAGGGACCTGTAATAAGAAGCTATTCAGACTCTCTGCTTCCTCCCTGAGCCACTTCCTACCACAGCCTACCTCTAGGCCTTTCCACCTGGGCGCACTCCTCCACAGATCCCAAAAGGAAAAATCCCATAATCCCAGAAAACAAAGTCCATGTAAGAGTCCCCTAGTGAGGCTCCTGACTCCTGCCATAGTCCCTGGCCCCAGCTAAGCCTTTTTTCAAGGCACTTGGCCCTGGTCTACACTAGGACTTTAGGTCGAATTTAGCAGCGTTAAATCGATGTAAACCTGCACCCGTCCACACAATGAAGCCCTTTATTTCGACTTAAAGGGCTCTTAAAATCGATTTCCTTACTCCACCCCTGACAAGTGGATTAGCGCTTAAATCGATGTTGCCGGCTCGAATTTGGGGTACTGTGGACACAATTCGATGGTATTGGCCTCCGGGAGCTATCCCAGAGTGCTCCATTATGACCACTCTGGACAGCACTCTCAACTCAGATGCACTGGCCAGGTAGACAGGAAAAGAACCGCGAACTTTTGAATCTCATTTCCTGTTTGGCCAGCGTGGCAAGCTGCAGGTGACCATGCAGAGCTCATCAGCACAGGTGACCATGATGGAGTCCCAGAATCGCAAAAGAGCTCCAGCATGGACCGAACGGGAGGTACGGGATCTGATCGCTGTTTGGGGAGAGGAATCCGTGCTATCAGAACTCCGTTCCAGTTTTTGAAATGCCAAAACCTTTGTCAAAATCTCCCAGGGCATGAAGGACAGAGGCCATAACAGGGACCCAAAGCAGTGCCGCGTGAAACTGAAGGAGCTGAGGCAAGCCTACCAGAAAACCAGAGAGGCGAACAGCCGCTCTGGGTCAGAGCCCCAAACATGCCGCTTCTATGATGAGCTGCATGCCATTTTAGGGGGTTCAGCCACCACTACCCCAGCCGTGTTGTTTGACTCCTTCAATGGAGATGGAGGCAATACGGAAGCAGGTTTTGGGGACGAAGAAGATGATGATGATGAGGAGGTTGTAGATAGCTCACAGCAAGCAAGCGGAGAAACCGGTTTTCCCGACAGCCAGGAACTATTTCTCACCCTAGACCTGGAGCCAGTACCCCCCGAACCCACCCAAGGCTGCCTCCTGGACCCAGCAGGCGGAGAAGGGACCTCTGGTGAGTGTACCTTTTAAAATACTATACATGGTTTAAAAGCAAGCATGTGAAAGGATTACTTTGCCCTGGCATTTGCGGTTCTCCTAGATGTAGTCCTAAAGCCTTTGCAAAAGATTTCTGGGGAGGGCAGCCTTATTGCGTCCTTCATGGTAGGACACTTTACCACTCCAGGCCAGTAACACGTACTCGGGAATCATTGTAGAACAAAGCATTGCAGTGTATGTGTCAAGGTTCCTCCCCCACTCTGAACTCTAGGGTACAGATGTGGGGACCTGCATGAAAAACCTCCTAAGCTTATCTTTACCAGCTTAGGTCAAAACTTCCCCAAGGTACAAAATATTACACCCGTTATCCTTGGAATGGCCGCTACCACCACCAAACTAATACTGGTTACTGGGGAAGAGCTGTTTGGACGCGTCTTTCCCCCCAAAATACTTCCCAAAACCTTGCACCCCACTTCCTGGACAAGGTTTGGTAAAAAGCCTCACCAATTTGCCTAGGTGACTACAGACCCAGACCCTTGGATCTTAAGAACAATGAACAATCCTCCCAACACTTGCACCCCCCCTCTCCTGGGAAATGTTGGATAAAAAGCCTCACCAATTTGCATAGGTGACCACAGACCCAAACCCTTGGATCTGAGAACAATGAAAAAGCATTCAGTTTTTTACAAGAAGACTTTTAATAAAAAATAGCAGTAAATAGAAATAAAGAAATCCCCCCTGTAAAATCAGGATGGTAGATATCTTACAGGGTAATTAGATTCAAAAACATAGAGAACCCCTCTAGGCAAAACCTTAAGTTACAAAAAAGATACACAGACAGAAATAGTTATTCTATTCAGCACAATTCTTTTCTCAGCCATTTAAAGAAATCATAATCTAACACATACCTAGCTAGATTACTTACTAAAAGTTCTAAGCCTCCATTCCTGTTCTGTCCCTGGCCAAGACGACTACAGACAGACACAGACCCTTTGTTTCTCTCCCTCCTCCCAGCTTTTGAAAGTATCTTGTCTCCTCATTGGTCATTTTGGTCAGGCGCCAGCGAGGTTACCTTTAGCTTCTTAACCCTTTACAGGTGAGAGGAGCTTTCCCCTGGCCAGGAGGGATTTCAAAGGGGTTTACCCTTCCCTTTATATTTATGACAGTATGTTTGCTGGCATTCAAACAACATCCGTTCTTTATCTCTCTGTGTTATCCTCAGGAGAGTGAGATCTAATTCATGGTCACCTGGTTGAAATAGAGTGCTTTTCTTCAGGGGACACTCAGAGGAGCCCATTCCTGCTGGGCTGTTTGCCTGTGGCTAAACAGAAATGTTCCCCGCTGTTAGCCACAGGGAGGGGGGAAGGTTGAGGGGGTAGTCACGCGGTGGGAGGAGGCAAAATGCGACCTTGTAACGAAAGCACATGTGCTATGTATGTAATGTTAACAGCAAGGTTTACCCTGAAAGAGTGTAGCCACTGTTTTATAAAATGTGTCTTTTTAAATACTGCTGTCCCTTTTTTTTTCTCCACCAGCTGCATGTGTTTCAATGATCACAGGATCTTCTCCTTCCCAGAGGCTAGTGAAGCTTAGAAAGAAAAAAAAAACGCACTCGCGATGAAATGTTCTCCGAGCTCATGCTGTCCTCCCACACTGACAGAGCACAGACAAATGCGTGGAGGCAAATAATGTCAGAGTGCAGGAAAGCACAAAATGACCGGGAGGAGAGGTGGCAGGCTGAAGAGAGTAAGTGGCGGGCTGAAGACAGGGCTGAAGCTCAAATGTGGCGGCAGCGTGATGAGAGGAGGCAGGATTCAATGCTGAGGCTGCTGCAGGACCAAACCAGTATGCTCCAGTGTATGGTTGAGCTGCAGCAAAGTCAGCTGGAGCACAGACTGCCACTGCAGCCCCTGTGTAACCAACCACCCTCCTCCCCAAGTTCCATAGCCTCCACACCCAGATGCCCAAGAACGCGGTGGGGGGGCCTCCGGCCAACCAGCCACTCCACCACAGAGGATTGCCCCAAAAAAAGAAGGCTGTCATTCAATAAATTTTAAAGTTGTAAACTTTTAAAGTGCTGTGCTTAAAGTGCTGTGTGGCATTTTCCTTCCCTCCTCCACCACCCCTCCTGGGCTACCTTGGTAGTCATCCCCCTATTTGTGTGATGAATGAATAAAGAATGCATGAATGTGAAGCAACAATGACTTTATTGCCTCTGCAAGCGGTGATTGAAGGGAGGAGGGGCGGGTGGTTAGCTTACAGGGAAGTAGAGTGAACCAAGGGGCGGGGGGTTTCATCAAGGAGAAACAAACAGAACTTTCACACCGTAGCCTGGCCAGTCATGAAACTGGTTTTCAAAGCTTCTCTGATGCGTACCGCGCCCTCCTGTGCTCTTCTAACCGCCCTGGTGTCTGGCTGCGCGTAACCAGCAGCCAGGCGATTTGCCTCAACCTCCCACCCCGCCATAAACGTCTCCCCTTTACTCTCACAGATATTGTGGAGCACACAGCAAGCAGTAATAACGGTGGGAATATTGGTTTCGCTGAGGTCTAAGCGAGTCAGTAAACTGCGCCAGCGCGCCTTTAAACGTCCAAATGCACATTCTACCACCATTCTGCACTTGCTCAGCCTGTAGTTGAACAGCTCCTGACCACTGTCCAGGCTGCCTGTGTATGGCTTCATGAGCCATGGCATTAAGGGGTAGGCTGGGTCCCCAAGGATACATATAGGCATTTCAACATCCCCAACAGTTATTTTCTGGTCTGGGAATAAAGTCCCTTCCTGCAGCTTTTGAAACAGACCAGAGTTCCTGAAGATGCGAGCATCATGCACCTTTCCCGGCCATCCCACGTTGATGTTGGTGAAACGTCCCTTGTGATCCACCAGAGCTTGCAGCACTATCGAAAAGTACCCCTTGCGGTTTATGTACTCGGCGGCTTGGTGCTCCGGTGCCAAGATAGGGATATGGGTTCCGTCTATAGCCCCACCACAGTTAGGGAATCCCATTGCAGCAAAGCCATCCACTATGACCTGCACATTTCCCAGGGTCACTACCCTTGATATCAGCAGATCTTTGATTGCGTGGGCTACTTGCATCACAGCAGCCCCCACAGTAGATTTGCCCACTCCAAATTGATTCCCAACTGACCGGTAGCTGTCTGGCGTTGCAAGCTTCCACAGGGCTATCGCCACTCGCTTCTCAACTGTGAGGGCTGCTCTCATCTTGGTATTCATGCGCCTCAGGGCAGGGGAAAGCAAGTCACAAAGTTCCATGAAAGTGCCCTTACGCATGCGAAAGTTTCGCAGCCACTGGGAATCGTCCCAGACCTGCAACACTATGCGGTCCCACCAGTCTGTGCTTGTTTCCCGAGCCCAGAATCGGCGTTCCACCGCATGAACCTGCCCCATTAGCACCATGATGCATGCATTGGCAGGGCCCATGCTTTCAGAGAAATCTGTGTCCATGTCCTGATCACTCACGTGACTGCGCTGACGTCGCCTCCTCGCCCGGTATCGCTTTGCCAGGTTCTGGTGCTGCATATACTGCTGGATAATGCGTGTGGTGTTTAATGTGCTCCTAATTGCCAAAGTGAGCTGAGCGGCCTCCATGCTTGCCTTGGTATGGCGTCCGCACAGAAAAAAGGCGCGGAACGATTGTTTGCCGTTGCTCTGACGGAGGGAGGGGCGACTGACAACACGGCTTACAGGGTTGGCTTCAGGGAGCTAAAATCAACAAAGGGGGTGCCTGTACATCAAGGAGTATTTCAGGCAGGACTTCACGGAGGGTTCCAATAAGAAATGGTGCACCTAAGTTATTGTTCTTATTGGAACGAGGAGGTTAGCCTGGCCTCTGATTGATACATGGCTAGATTTACCTCGCTGCACCTTCTCTGTGAGTGACTGCAGTGTGACCTAGAGGAATGAGTCCCCTAGACAGGGGAGGAGGCAAATGAGTACAAAACAAATCTGGTCTATTTCTTGTTTTGACCCACTCCATCTATCTTTTACATCTTTGGCTGGCAGCAGACGGTGCAGAAGGACTGCATGCCATCCACATCTCATGGCTGCTCGGCAGAAGATGGTACAGTACGACTGCTAGCCATCCCCATCTCTTGCCTGCATGGCAGAAGATGGTGCAATACGACTGCTAGCAATCCTCATCTCTTGCCTGCCTGGCAGAAGATGGTACAGTACGACTGCTAGCAGTCCATATCGCCTGCCCGCTCACCATAAGACGGTTCAATAGGACTGACTGCAGGACTAAAGAGAATGACCTGGTCAAGTCACTCCAAATTTAGTCCCTGCGCCCATGTCTGCCCAGGCGCTCCCAGCCGACGTGGCCAGGAGCACCTCGGACACGACGAGGACGACTACCAGTCGTATTGCACCGTCTGCTGCCAGAAGGCAATGGGTTGCTGCTACTGTGCAGCAAAGCCGTACCGCGTCTGCCAGCACCCAGGAGACATAGGGTGACGGTTACCTGAGCGGGCTCCATGCTTGCCGTGGTATGGCGTCTGCACAGGTAACTCAGGAAAAAAGGCGCGAAATGATTGTCTGCCCTTGCTTTCACGGAGGGAGGGAGGGAACGGGGGCCTGACGATATGTACCCAGAACCACCCGCGACAATGTTTTAGCCCCATCAGGCATTGGGATCTCAACCCAGAATTCCAATGGGCAGCGGAGACTGCGGGAACTATGGGATAGCTACCCACAGTGCAACGCTCCAGAAGTCGACTCTAGCCTCGGTACTGTGGAAGCGCTCCGCCGAGTTAATGCACTTAATGCACTTAGAGCATTTTCTGTGGGGACACACACACTCGAATATATAAAACCGATTTCTAAAAAACCGACTTCTATAAATTCGACCTTATTCCGTAGTGTAGACATACCCTTATTGCTTCCCAAAGTAGAAACTATGGAGCAGCACAGGTTTCTCGCTAGAGGCCAATCCAAAGTGGGAGGGGACAGACCCCTGTGTTACAGCCTTATGCACACTGACTGCTACTTAAAGTTTTGGGGAATTGATAGATTCCCTAATTTGGGACAGCATAGTCTGCAGCACTTGGGATCACCACCTGAGGGAGTGGCTGCTCTAGGAAAGTGATTTCAAGTTAGACATATTTAGACATGGGGCACGCAGCGGAAGCCTCAAGAGAAAGGATGAAAGCCTTAGGCGGCACAGCAACTCCAGAAGTACATGCAGTAGGGTGACCAGATGTCCCAATTTTATAGGGACAGTCCCGATTTTTGGGTCTTTTTCTTATATAGGCTCCTATTAACCCCCATCCCCTGTCCCAATTTTTCACACTTGCCGTCTGGTCACCCTAACATGCAGTGAGACAAAAGCAAAGGAAAGCAAGTGGCCAGGGTTCCATATCCATAGTGAGATGCATGTTGTGTGGGAGACAGCATAAGTGGATAAAGGAGAAGCACTCTACAAAGACAGGATTGCCAGGAATGTGTCAAGTTGAACTGTTTTAGCAGTGTGTGCAAGAGCAGAGGAAGCTCTCAGACAGATTCAGTTAAACTTACCAGGAGGGGAATGGCACATCAGACAGCAGTGATGACGTCATGACTCTCTCCTTGGGTTCAAGAGGCTATCAGGTTCAGGCAACAAGGGACAATACTAAACTCTGTGCATGCAACAATGGTAATAGGGAAATGCCCTTTGCAATTTCAGCTGGGTAGTGGGGGCCTCCTGTAATGTGACTCCTTGGGGTGAACTGGACTTGAACACACCCATTACAAAGAGTAGGCACAATCTAATGTAGAATGAGAGCATAATGCAGCCCATAGGAAAATGTGATCTCCTAGGAGCTAACCAGTTAGTACAGCCTTATTTTTCTGATGTTTGTGCTGGTGGTGGATGATAAGCACCACCGACCCCTCTTGGGGAACACAGCGATACAAGCCATGGATCTGATCAGGATGCAGCATGAGAATTTTATAGTTGCAGTGCAAGAAGCACAAGGAGTCCCCTGGACAAATGAGGCAATTTTAAAAGCATATGGGAATGTTTTCAAAGGCAACGGGTGCCCCGAAGGAAAGCTACGACTGGAAGTAGGTTCCACTGTGGGGTCTATTACTGAACACAAAGGAAAATTCCAGTGGCACTAATTAATCCACTATGGAAGGAGCCTAAATGTCTGTAAAGAAGGGGTATCATAGCATATGTAGAGGCCAATGCAGCCTCAGGGGAAGGAGAATGATGGTGGTCATAAAGAGGTCATTAAGCAAATTACACATCTGCATAGCCCAAAGCCACTGAACCAAGCATTGAAAAGATACCACTATCACCTGCCCACAATTAATGACATCTTGCCAGAACTTTCTAAACCCAGAATCTTTATGGTCTGTGATATGAGTAACAGGTTTTGGCACATAAACCCAGATAGAGTCCAGCATGCTGACAACCTTTGCAACACCACTTGCCCACTACAGGTGACTGTGCATGCCAATGGGCATAAGCCCAGCACCACAGTGTTCCAGAGAAGACTCATCCAAGTGTTGGAAAGACTGCCCGGGGTGAAGGGCATAATGATACAGAAGCTGAACAAGACCATGACAAAAAATTACAAGATTTTCTACAACAATGCAGGGGCATAAAACTTAACCCAGAAAAAATGCAACTCAAACGATGTGAGGTGACATATATTGGACATCTGCTCACAATAGAAGCACTGAAAGTAGATCTCAAGAAGATCAAGGCAATCAGAGACATGCCAACTCCAGTGGATGTGAAAGGGGTACAGCTCTTCATATTAATTATAAATTTTCTGTCCAAGTTCTGTCCATTCCTGCCTGGAGTAGAGGAACCCACATGTCAGTTCACAAGGGAGGATGCTAGGGAGACTGGGCAAGTCCCTGACAACAAGCATCTGACATGCTGAAACAAAGGTTAATGGATGCCCCTGTCCTGAAGTACTACCAGTCAGGAGAGCCACTGATGCTCCAGTGTGATGCATCGGAGAAAGGACAGGGTATAGCTCTTTTGTAGAAGCATCTGTTTGCTCATGCCAGCAGAGCCCTTTCAGAGACGGGCACACCCAGATAGAAAAGGAACTTTTGATTATGGTATTTGGAGTGGAGCGATTCTATCAGTACACATAGGGCCACCCAGTAACAGTGCAATCAGATCACAAACCCCTGAAGACAGTCATGGCAAAGCTCCATCTTA